TGGGGGGATGAGGGATGCTGGGGCTCTGGGGACAGGTCGGAGGGAACAGGGGACATCCCTGTAGGGATGCGGATGGCTTTCTGTCCCCGGCAGTACCCAGGTGATGGTGGCACTCGGCAAGGGCTGAAACCCCTCCCCGTCAGGGGCTTTGCACAGAGCCGGCTGTTTTCTCCAAACTGGGGCTCAGCCTTCGCTTCCGCTTTGGGGTTGGCGCTTAAATCCTTCCCGCGGCCGTCGTAACGGTGAGAAAACCCTTTGGCCCCCGTACGCTGCAGGGCGGCCACGGGGGCTGCGTGGGCAACGCTGGGTTTTGGGACTGGGACTGATGCAAAGCGTGGAAAGACCATCTCCCCAAGCCCCCCGCATCCCTCACATCCCCAGACGTGTCCCGTGCCCCGCGGTGCTGGCTCATCCCCATTCATCTCCCGCTGTCAGCCGGGCCGTGGCCGCAGGGCCGGTATCGAGCGGGGAGATGAGGAGGTGCGAGAGGCAGTGCTGACAGCGAGGAGGAGGATGGAGGGGACTCAGCCCCGGGCAGGAGCAGGGCTTCTCCACGGCATCGCACCGCGCTCTGCAGCTCCTGCAGCTGATTTTTCTGCTGGAGAGAAAAGAAAAGGCGAGGATGCAGCCCCAGAAGGGTTTCAAACCCCAACCGCTGCCCAGATCGTGGGGGTTTGCTCCCAGCCGAGCGCTGTCAGAGGAGGGCAGCCTCTGGCTCCGAGTCTGTAAAACACCAGTTCTCGGTGTCCGAGGTGATGTCTAACCCGACGCCGCTTCCAACAGTTTTTCCTCGCCGTGAGCAGAGGGAGGGAACCTCTGTGACATTTACTTTTGTGTTTGGCTCTGGAAGGTTTCAGCCTGCTGCCCTGCTCAGTGCTCAGCCAAGGGTGTGGGTCAGGGCTTTCCGCGTCTAATTCCCATCCTGCAAACTACATCTGACCTTATTCCCCATGCGGTTTCTGCTGCCCGTGGCACTCGCCTCTGCTGGGTGTGAAAAGGCTGTAGAAGGAGATACCCCACATCTCCCATTGGGCTTGGGAACCTCCCTCAGAGCCACCAGAGATAGGGCCAGCCCTAGAGCTTTCCTTCATCCCTCCAGAAAGACCCTTTTCCTCTCTTGCTATCCCTTTCAACCCTTCATCACGCTCCTCATCTGATCCTTCCCATCACCTTCCTTCCAGTTTTGGGCACCTCTCCCTCAGGCTCTCATTTTTCCCCTATGGCTGGTGCATTTCCAGCGTGATGGGTGGAAGAAGGTGACTATCATCAGCAAGAAGGAGGGCACAAGGACTGTGGGCTGCATCAGTCCTTGTCAGGATTAAGAAGCAAATCCCCCTGGAAGCCCTCTCCAGGCAAAGGAAGGACAGGAGGGTGACCGTGGGTAGCCAGCATGGATGCACCAAGGGTAAGTCATGCTTGACCAACATGAGTGCCTCGGGTGATGAGAGGATTGATGGCTGCGTGGACAAAAAGAAGAGCAAGGTGACTTTAGCAAGGTCACCATGATCTTCTGTTGCCTCCTTGCAGCCAAACTTTGAGTATAAGGAATTTAAGAAGGTTAGAAGGTTCATTGTCTGCGGTGCACTGGCTCAGCTCCTGTGGGACAGCGCCCCATCGGCGAGGTCCTCCTCAGCTCCCTGGCATGGTAATGTCAAACACGGCACTTGTGGAGCTGTAACTGTCTCCGAAATGCTCAAAAAGTGGACATGAAAGATGGGGCGTTGTTCTGTGGTTTGCTCTGAAGAGAGCCCAAAGCCCTGTTGCTCGCTCAAGCTGAGGTCATCTCCTCTGGGTACACTTCTCCAAACTAAGAAGCGCAGAGAAAAGATAACGACCTGCTTTGGGCTTTGTCACTCTCTCAGGGCTCAAACAGATTCACAGTCCCCAAATCCCCAAATTGTGTGAAATAGTAAGGGTGTTTGCTGACGGTGGTTTATTTTCAAGCTCCCCTGCAGAGCTTCAGGCAGGCGCGTCTTCACATCCATCTCCAAGAGCATCAGGAGGGAAGTGGAGACAGTGCTGAGAAGTGAGGGACATCGCGTTTCAGCCCTAGCTGGAGCTCCCTGTACCAGATCCACGAGCAAGAACAGTGTGTGCAGAGCCAGCCACCTCTCTTGCAAAAAAAGAAACAGCTCCTATCTTCATCTCGTGTTCTACCTGCAGGGTCCTGGGCTTCAGTTCTTCACGATACTCTGGACTTTCCACCAAAACCAGGGAGCTGGCTGTCCTCACCACAGAACCGCTGAGAAGGCAGGTCTGGAGATCACCCTGGTGGAGGGCACACTCGGGAGGCTTCCTCTCCTCATCAACCATAGAGGGCTCCTGGATGAGGACCAGAAGCTTTCCTGTAAAGAACATTTAGGGAGCTTACCGTTGCTGAGATGAGGCAGGTCCAAAAGATTATTTTTTTTTTTCCCCCAAATATTTTCAAGGGGAGATTGCTCAGCTTTGGGGGATGCCCATTTCCATTTGAAGACTCTAGGAACAGGCTAAAGACCCAGGAAAAGCTTTTATAGCTAAAACAGTGTGTCAGGAGGGAGGGGAAACCAATATAAACCTCTGTGTAAGGTCTCCTGGTTAGGAAGGAGTCCCAGCAAAGAGGGGAGAAGCGGGTGGTTGGCAAATGCCAACGAGAAGATGAATAATCAATTCTGCGCTGTAAAAGTACCGTGTTTCTCTGTGTTTCAGGTTGAGCTGGATGATCTCAAAGTCCCAGACTGAACGCCAACGCAGGGGATGAAACGCAACACCGAGGTAAAGCTACTCGGGTGTGTAACCTCCCAACGGCTCCTCACAAAGGTCACTGCTGAACGTCCAGAAGTGATCCAGAGGATCACGCTGTGCCATGGCATTTTACAGCTTGAGCAAAGCTTTGCTTTTGCAGCACCCCGTTTGCTTTACCTGCATTGTGATATGACTTTTGGCAAGCTGTTTCTAATCGATCTGTGCCTAAACTCTTCCTTTAGACCTTGTATGATTGTCTCCGAGCAGATCCCACTAGAGAGAGGGTTTTCCACCTGGGAGATACCTGCCTGTTGTAGAAGAAACCTCCAGCAAGGAATTCACACAGAAAGCACGCGTCCAGCTAATGGCAGAAAGCAATTGCACCCAAGCGACTGAGTTCAGCTTAACGGAGTTCACAGACAACCCGGTGACTCAGGTCACTCTCTTTCTGATGTTTCTTGTCACCATCCTGGGGAACCTTGGGATGATCGCATTAATCAGGGCCAGCCCTCAGCTCCACTCCCCCATGTATTATTTCCTGGGAAACCTGGCGTTTGTAGACCTCTGTTCTTCCACCATCATCACCCCCAAGATGTTGATTGACTTTATATCAGAGAAGAAGGGCATTACTTATGCTGGGTGCGTGGCTCAGGTGTTCATTTTTGATCTTTTTGGGATGACAGAATGCTTCCTGCTGGCTACGATGGCGTATGACCGTTACATGGCCATTTGCCATCCCCTGGTGTATCCCCTTGTCATGTCCCCAAAATGCTGTTTCCAGCTGGTGACTGGGTCGTATCTCGTGGGGTTGACAAATGGCATGGGACAGACTATCGGCATGTCCAATTTATCCTTCTGTGGCTCCAGCGTCATTGACCTGTTCTTCTGTGACATTTCCCCTCTGATATCCCTCTCGACCTCCGACATCACCCTCAGCCACATTATCCTAAGAACTTCGGCATCTTTATTTGGTGTGTCCAGCAGCCTGGTTGTCCTGGTCTCCTACGTGGCCATCATCTCCACCATCCTGAGCATCAGTTCAGCTGAGGGCAAGCGCAAAGCCTTCTCCACCTGCGCCTCCCACCTCACCACTGTGAGCATCTTCTACGGGACATCGCTTTTTATGTACTTAAAGCCCAGCTCAGAAAGCTCAAGAAAAGGAGATAAATGGACTGCGGTGTTCTACGCTGTGGTGACTCCCATGCTGAACCCCTTGATCTACAGCCTGAGGAATAAGGAGGTAAAGGAGGCTTTGAGGAGACTCACAAAAATAAAGTGATCTTGAATGTTGTAAATTTATGGCCAGACAGAATGGAGATGTGGGTGGCATGCTCAGCTTTTTGTTAAATGTCTCAGATTGACAACATTTTTGGGGTCTTCTGCACTTTGACTTACCTGATGCACTGGCTGATTCAATATTATTATCTGAGAATACTAATAATTTCACTTGGTTCTCCAAATGTCGATAGTAATATTTAATCGTTAATTTAACCTAATGAAGACACAGGTAGAGAACTACAAGCACGCACTTCTCATTTTAAATTTTGCCCTTTACCAGTTATTCAGTCCTATGTATCAGGGCAAATTAAACCAGGAGAATATTGCAAAAATTTCTACAATTGCCTGGACTTGAATTATGAACTTTGCCATGTATTGCTCTCCCTTTTGCTTAGCGAATCGGAATAAACAGGGAGGGAATTCTACTATCCCACTAACTCAAATTCCACTTCAAGACAGCATTGTAAAGGCATTAAGGGCCATAATAACTGGCCTCAGGACACCAACACCTTTAGCAAAATAGAGATGACAGCAAATACCAGGCACGCTATGCAGGAAATAATTTTTTATTTTTCACATTCAAAGCTCATTAAATGGTTAACAGTGCCATACAGCTCATTTAATTTTAGATAGCTAAAAATTTAAGTTAAGTACGGTATTCGTGTGACCTCTATTGTGAATGAAGGCACTTCAAAAGCATGTTAAGATGCGGTGGTGATGAATCCCCCCAAGGGCAGGTACTACCGAGTAACCTCCATCCACTGCTCCCCACCTTTGCTTTCCATGTCTCTGTTGTCAGCAATAAAAGCCGTGATCTCCATGCTACCCTGACCAGAACAGATCATGGGAGCTCTGGTGTTGCTCAGCAGCCTTCTCCTTCAGACCCGATATTTTGCAGTCCATGCCAGCCCGGACCGATGCCATCGCCTGCCTTGATGTCTCTCCTGCTGCCTTCCTGCAGAGACACCTGCCAGGTGGTCCTCAAATGTTACATACACGAAAAAAGCAAAAATATTCCAATTTGTGTATTACCTCAGCCCGTGCAGCCTCTGTCAGGACCATGGTGAAATCTGGAGCCATGGCTTAGCCTTAGTGCTACCCTAGAGATGTGCAATGCCTTGGGTTGGAGGGAGAAGCTGCACAGTTGAATTAAATCAAGCCAGGATCAAAGCGGTTTGCTCATTTATTAATGAGACACAACTAACAGGCACCCAGGGTCAATCAGCTGAATCCTTCTTTGTTCTCAAAGCTTCCTGAGAGCTCCCTGGTTATTATTTAATCCGGCCGCCGGTTGGCTGCCCGGCTGGCACTGTCAGCCAGGGACAAACGTCCTCCCAGGCTGTTTGCACTCCCGTTCCTCTCTTATCAGCTGTGTTACCGTCAGGGCCGACATGCCCAGGAGGGGCTGTGCTGGACCCCCCACCACGGCACGGACCCCAGGAGGTCTCCGGTACAGCCACCAGCACCAACCATGGCCAATGCAGACCCCGTTGTCCCGCTGAGCCTTGGGGACCAGCCCGGGCAGAGGTTTCACACCATCCCTGGCCCCTATTTCAGTGTCTGACCACCCTTACAGTGATTTTTTTCCCTCCCTTTGTTTCTACCTGGAATTTCCCACGTTGCAAATTCACGACAGAAAGTCTCAGATTTACCCTCATCCGCAATACGAAGCACACGGAGCGCTGGTGGCACCAAGTCAAAAAGAAGATGACATTATTAATTCCTTCGTGTATCCTTTCTTTATCCCCAAAATGGGTTACAAAACTGCACTTAGCCATAGTTATTTCACACTACAGGCAGACTACCCCTTTCATCACTATGAGAGCCTGGACACAGCCCTAGCGAGGAAGGCTCCCCTCTCTTCCTCATCTCACATGTCTCCAGATGTGTTTAGCAGGACCTACTGAACTGGGACCTCTCTTCCTGCTGTTCTCCCACACTTGTGCTCCTCTGTGACCGTCACCTTCAGGATGTTGTTTAAATGCAGGGAAGATTGACACTTTTTTTCTTTAAATAAAAGATTCAAGCTTATTTTTAATGTTTTATTTACAGTCCCAGCTCATCTCTTCTTGCTGTGGTGACCTACAGCCATTATTTGTATGTAAAATACAACAATATCCAATGACTTTGTGTCCACCTGGTCTTGCCTTCACCATCACCCTGTGTTTAAATGGGAATATGAGCTCTTAGTGTCTTAAAAACACAAGTCCATGGCTACAGCACTGTTGCTCTGCTCGTCGTAGCTTCCTGCTGGAGCTGCTGCTCTCAAAACCGAAAGCGTTTTGGTCAGCGTGCAAGCGGCGCGTGCTGTATTTGGGGAAACCAGCGGTTAGCTGCATCTAACAAGCATCTGACCATGAGAGTGATGGGAAATACCACGTGTGGTTCTAGGAGGAGAGTTACAGAGCGGAGAAGGAGCATCCCAGCCTTGCAACCTACCTTCCTGGTGGGTCATGATGAATGGGCAATGATGTGGTTTGCATCTCATTTTGCATTCGTGCTGATTAGCTGCCAATTGCTTTGGGGTCCTTTCCTCCAAAGGGGCTCTGCTTTTAGGCGGAGCTGCCTTAGTTCTAGTTAAATCTGTTTTAAACAGAAAGCTGAGCAAATATTGGTATTGCAGGGGTAGGAGCCACCTCCCCTTGTTTAGATACTTAGTGATTAGAGTTGGGAATCACCTCAAATGTCTTTAGGGGAAGGACTTATCTCCTTAACTTTAAATAAACACCATGTCACCTCTATGTATTGACTGAGTACATCAGCTCCCTTTATGGCTAAGGAAGACTTGGTCAAGTAGGTTGGTGGGGTCTGGGACGTCTCACTGGATGGCAGACACCTACATTTCACCAGCTGAAGAGATAGATAAACTCTGCTGATTGCATTGGCCAGAGTCACGTTAGTTGTAACGAGACTTTAGCTTGCAAAATGATAACGGCAGACACTCAGATTTGGGTCTTAATATGAGCTGAATCTAAAAGAAGGTGGAATGAATCCCATTCTGGAGGTCTTCTCTAGCTGGTGGGTAAAAAAGGCACTGAAAAAGAGAAATGTTTTGGGTTTGTTTTTTTTTTTTCCCTTCAGTTGAAAAGGAGTTGAAGACTTGGGCTTCAAATGTGTAGGTCCTGCACTGGGGTGGTGACTCCTCTCCATCGCATGAAATTCAGATGTATGTGAAGAGCCAGGAACCTGAACCACAACCCTTTTCCAGGGCTGGAAACCCACCTACCTTCAGTTTCCCTTAGTACTGGAATGAAAGGGAGAGTCTAAGTCTGGCCTTACTCCCTTTAAAATTGATGTCCAAGGTATCTCTCTTTTACATTATAGATATTACAATGGCTTATTTTAGACACAGTTCCTGCCCCGGAGCAAAAAAACCTTCCTGAGGTCCTGATGGAAGAAGCGAGAAGACCTTATTCAAACACCAGTGAGTTCCTCTCTGTCTGCCGTTACCACTATTCATGGCTCGGAAAGACATTTTGAGCCCAAGAAAAAGAAATTTGCATTTTCCACATCTTGAGGAAGGGGGAAAGGGAGAAGGGGAAGGTTGGGTTGAGCAAAGACAGAGACACACATGGGGCAGGACTAACCTCAGCTGGCTTTAGACACCTGCAGTGTCAGCACGTGCATCTGAGCAAGACACCCCAGGGAAAGGGACGCTTCTGTGGGCGATAAAATTGGATATTTGCGGTGGGATGGATGATTTACGCTGTACAGACTGGCGGTGGCACTGAGAATGGCTGGTTTGGATGCTGTTAGCTGTAACGTGTGTTTTAAATGTCTGTGCTCTGTTACATCTACACCATCCGAGGTGAAGGAGGAAATCGATGGGGACGAGGAGACGGCCATCCAACGTGTGAGATGTTAGTAATGGGAAACAGCAGCCACCTCCTTCCCACTGCCCAGGGTGGCTGTGAACGACTGCAGTTGGATCTCCTGAACCCATTGAAAGCCATTAAAGCGATTTAGCATAACCCTGGCTGCAATCAACTGCTATCTTCTACAAGTCACACTACTGGTTTCCTTTCCTGCTTTCACCAGCACCCGGCATCTCACTTCCCAATACTCTTGGCAGCAGAGGGTTATAGTGAAACAGCCACACAATTTTTCTGAAAAGGAGCAAAGAACAAAGCTGGCCTCATTTTTTTCTTTAGTAACAAAACACAGAGAGATTAATTCTAAATATTTGTTGGACTGCACATAAGCTTAGTGCCCACCCTTCATTGATCATGGGTAGAATAGGTGTTAAAAAGAAATGCATAAATAAAAGAGCATTTCCTCTGACAATTTATCTCACATCTCATGGCTTCCAATTCCTCATGACTGAATAAATTAGGGAAATTTTATAGCAGCAGCAGTATGGAATGCTATGGGAGGAGCTCTGCGCAATGATCACCTTCAAAGAGCAATGCACTTCCTTGGATTTAAACCTCTGCATGGGGCAGGATAAAGTTGTCTCGGTGATGGAAAGCAGCAGTTCTTTGGTTTTATTCTGTATTTAGTACTTTCATTTCTGTTCCTCCAAAACTGCAAACATACCTCAGTGCAGGGTTCATCCACGTTTTGGTACCTTCCATTTCTTCCAGACTTGATAGCAACTTCTAGGTTGATAACGTACATCATGAGGAACACCACAAGGAGGAGGACCTGCAGTTTTGGGCAGTGGGTGAACCCCACAAAAGCGAACTCCATCACCATGGAGTGATGCCCCCGTATCATTGTCTGGGGAGGAAACAAAGATGGAAAATGGCTAAAACGGGTTTGGCTGTCCCACAGGTAACATCATCAGAAAGAAAGGGTGAAGCCTCACAAGTACAAGACTCTTTTTGCCTTCTCTTTGGGCACAAACCATTACAGATTTGGGAATTACACATCTGATGCAGCAGAAAACTGAGTTTCACCCCCAGCTGTTGTGGTTGTAAATGTTCTGCTTTCCAGTCTGCACCCATCTGTCCTGGGGGTATTTTAATTTTGAAGCACATGATGCATCCTGGGGGTATTTTAATTTTGAAGCACATGATGAAAAGTGGCTTTTCAAAGGGAGATTTTTTTTTTTTTTTGTCCAAAACGGGCAGATGGGAATCACACAAACTTCAAAAAGGAAAAATGATGAGTCCTGGCCATGGGGAAGAATTGCCCCAGGCACCAGGACAGGCTGGAGAGCAGCTCGGCAGAGAAGCCGTTGAAAGTTGTGGTGGCCACCAAGTTGAAGATGAACCACCAATATGTCCTTGCCAAAGGGAGATTTTTTTTTTTTTTTGTCCAAAACGGGCAGATGGGAATCACACAAACTTCAAAAAGGAAAAATGATGAGTCCTGGCCATGGGGAAGAATTGCCCCAGGCACCAGGACAGGCTGGAGAGCAGCTCGGCAGAGAAGCCGTTGAAAGTTGTGGTGGCCACCAAGTTGAAGATGAACCACCAATATGTCCTTGCAGCAAAGACGTCTGCCAGCAGCCCGGGAAGAGCGCCTTTGTCAGGGGACTTTCTGCAATGAACCTCTGACCGACAGCTGGAGGAATGGGGAAGTAAAAGCTACTTTGAGAAGGGCAACGGGAGAAGAGAAATTGTCCTGAAGAGACGGTCATCTTGCTTTGCTAGAAAACAGACAGCAAGGCTGATGCAAAGAGGGAAGTGGGAAGGGAATAAATAGTAATACTCATTTCTCAAACAGGCAATACACATACTTTAAGGTCATCTCTAGTGGATAACACGAGAAGCAGTCTTTTTTTTTTTTTTTTTTTTTTTAATCCATGAATAAGAACAGAGGAAGAAAAATATCCCAGGTAAAATCATAGTGATACTAAACACCAAAGTGTGTGACTAGCAGATGGGTAGCAGGGAGAAAAAAAAAAAAAAAAAAGAGTGTTTGAAATTCATGCACCTAATTGCAAATGTCTAGAGGAGAGCCACCTAAGTCTGAGTTCCCTGTCCTGACACATGTATGGAAACAGGCTTTCAGAGAGCTACATCCATGGAAATGCTCCTCATGGGACTTCCTCTGAGGCTCTACCTCCTAGGCAGGAATGGTGTAAAAAACATATTGAAATGGAAAATGACAAGTTTATCTAGAAAAAAGAAAATGACAACTGAATGGCAAATTGATATCTGCATTTTGATCCATTTTTTCTTTAGTATTTCCTCATCTGCTGTATAGAAATATGTAGTACAAAAGAAAACTAATCTGACTGATCATTGCAAGTATATAGCAATAATTTCCTTAAATTAATGCTTTACTTAGAGTCAGCATTTTTTTTTTCCTCCCATGTTCCTGGAGAATAAAAACATTAAACCTTTCAAATTCAAGTCTTCGGCAAAAACCGCATTACCTCGTGTTTCACTTCTCATTACAGTGTTGCATACACAAGTCAAAGTGCTCAAGTTCTGCAGGTATCATTTCTGATGTGCCTTGGGGATCCCACCCATAAAACCTCAGAGAGAAATCTCGGTGTTTACCCCAGGGTCTTCAGGGAAGGTTCTCTCTGTTTTCGGGTGCCCCAAGGCCCCTTCGGTAATTTCTCCTGGGGGACCGGGGTAAGAAATCTTCAAGCCACGTCGGAGGCTGCAGTAGGGAAACCTTCCTGGGTTTGGAAAGACCAACGGAGCTGGTGTTTTAACTTCAGCTCAAGTGAGTATCTGTCTGAGAATGACTCGAGATGCCATTGACCAGAGAGGGTGAAATTTTGAGAGGTTGACATAATTTTTTACCGGACGGGGAAGGGCTTGCTTAACTGCAGGAACCCTTCCGTGAAGCAATACTGAAGATATTAAGGTCCCTCCTAAAGGAAAAATTGCATACGCCAGTATGTCTGAATCCTAATTCCTAACTGAAAGTCTGGATAAAAATTCCTGATTTTAGCAGACCCGAGAGGTGTAAGGAAGATGACGTGCAAGTATAATTCAGATTAGAAAGGGGTGGTTTTCCCTTGGATGAAATTGCAATCAGGTATGTTAATTGTATTAATCTTATTTTACTTGATCCAAACATACCACTACAGAGTCAGAAAATCACTCCAGCATAGTCTGTAATCTATTTAATGCAACACTAATTAATGTGGCAAATTAAGGCACAATATTATTGTATTTACTTGTCCCTAAAGAAGAACACCCCCACAACAAAGGGAAAGAAATCCTCCCAAACATGCCTACGTATTGTAAAGAATTTGATGTTCATGAGAAGACATCATTTGCAAGGTTTTTTGCAAGACCAATTATTTCTGCAATGTGCCAGCAATATCTAAGATTTATGCTTTAAGATTTTTTTTTCCATATTGTGTTCTATTGGCTATTATTTTGTCAATACATTATTTTTCAATATATTATTTTGGATCTTCAGCCTGCCCACTGGCTATCGTATTTTTTTCTCCCAATAAGTGGGTGTATTGATCCAGGAGACACCAAATCTTGCCTTACCCTCAGGCACTACATAATCCTGTGAGCTGGGAGAAATTATTTCACCTTTTCCCTGTGTTTCTTTGTCTTGCTGCCAGGAGAATGGCTGGGGGGAACCACTCAAGTGTGACTGAATTTGTCCTTCTGGGCTTCACCGACCTGCAGGAGCTGCTCTTTGTGATATTTTTGCTCATCTACATCACCACGCTGGTGGGGAACCTGGGGATGATCATCCTCATCAGGACCAACTCTCAGCTTCACGTGCCCATGTACTTCTTCCTCAGCCACCTCTCTTTCCTGGACATCTGCTATTCTTCATCCATCGTGCCGAAGCTCCTGACAGGCCTCCTTGCTGAGAGAAATGTCATTTCTTTCAATGGTTGCATCACGCAGTTTTTCTTCTTTGCAGTATTCGGCACCACAGAAGCCATCCTTCTGGCCGTCATGGCGTACGATCGCTACGCAGCCATCCGTGAGCCTCTGCACTACTTGGCTGCCATGTCCCATGGGGTCCGTGTCCAGCTGGTGGTGGGCTCCTACACTGCCGGGAGCCTGAATGCCCTCGTGCACACCAGCGCTCTCCTCCGACTCTCTTTCTGTGGTCCAAATGTTGTCAATCATTTCTACTGTGAAATCCCACCGCTCCTGCTACTCTCGTGCTCCAGCACCTGGCTCAATGAGATGATGATGGCCACATGCATTGGCTTCATCATAACAACCTCAGTCTTGGCCATCATCGTCTCCTACACCTGCATCCTGCTCACCATCTGGAGCATCCGCTCTGTAGAGGGCAGGCACAAAGCCTTCTCCACCTGCACTTCCCACCTCATGGCTGTTGTCCTCTTCTACGGTTCTGCGGCTTTCTTGTATTTCCATCCCTTTTCCAAACACACAGATCAAGGGAAAACAGCCTCCATCTTCTACACCATGGTGACCCCCATGCTCAACCCTTTCATCTACAGCCTGAGGAACAAGGAGGTGAGGACCACCCTCAGAAAATCTACGAACAAGCTTCTCTTGCATGTATTTCCACAGGTCCCGCTCCAACCAAACCAAAGTAGGTATCACCACAGCAGAGTGAGCAGAAGAAATAAGGCTGACACCTGACAGAAGAAGGGCACTACATTTCTGTGCATCTGGTGAGATGTACATGGTCTACCTCATGCTGAATGATGCAGAGTTTGAATTATGAATTAATACCACCTTGGGGTCCCTTAAAAAATGTATTACCTGTAATTACAATGTCTGAAAGAAGGACAGAATGCAGGAAAGAGAGGCAATCCTAAACACACATATATTGTCAGTGAAACTTTTGGAGTAAACGAACTTATAAGCAGCTCTAGAACATGCACAGTTGATAGTTTTTACCAAAGAGAATTTACTCAATGTTACAACAATATTAAATTCTGTGGCCTGAAAGAGGTGGCTCAGAGCAGAAGGGGACCAGCTAAATAAAGACTATATGTTGGAGGGGGACAGTCTCTTTCGTAACTTTGTTTTCACATTTTCTAAGTAGTTGCCTAAGGTTTTGCTTTAGCACAATAAACCTGATTTATTATTTTCTCTGGTTCATCCAAAGATAGTCTTTATGGGGAATAGCATGTCCCCATGCTTCATATATATATATATATATATTGCAGACCACTTGTGCTGGTCATCTTGCTTTCCTGGATGGGTCTCCCCTATGGACATCTACCAGCCTGGAGCCACCACAATCACATGCTCCTTTGCCTAAGAGCAGGGTGGTTTTATCCCCTGTGACAAGGACTCACTCAGCTTGGCCAGAAACAGTCTTTCATGACATTGTCTGAGCAGTCCTGGCTTTTCCCATCATGTCATCTGCCGTTGACAACACAGGAAGCCTCCATGCTTCTGGCCATATGTTGTATTCAGACATGCCCAACTCATTGGATGACTCCAAGACTCTCAACATTGGCCAAAACTCCCCCACCATCTCCGCTCCTACTTATGTGTCTCCATCCAGGCAAAGTTTATTTTCCATTCTGGGAAATATTAATTTCTTATTAATAATTTCTGCTTCCACATTTCAGGGGTTGAGTCATCTCGGTCCAGGAGTCATCCTATCTAATTGTAGGCTTCCACATCTGAATTAGTCACCATCGGTTCCCCTTATGGAGACAACTAGGCATTTGGGGACTTTGATTCATCTGGTCTGTTTTAAACACCCACATCAGGGTGAGATGAATTTTTCTGGAAAAAATGCATGGTTTTCTCCGCTTGCTGCTTGGCTGCAAAGGGCTGACACAGCTACACGGCAGATGCGCATTTTGCACAGAGCAGTCACACTCAGGGCATATTCTGAGGAGTTGATGTAAACATAAATTTACATAAATTAAGTAATTAATAGAGTAATTAAATTAAGCATATTCTAATCTATAGGGGGAAAGCTTCAGCTCACCAGGCTGATGTTTTGGAGTCCTTCAAAAACCACACTCAAGAGCGAGAAGCTGAAACCAGCTTTTAATCAATAATTTATAATTCAGCTGGGCACGGCTGCTCAGCATCCAGAAAATGATTTTGGGAAAGAACAGGAAAGCAAAATGGATGAAGACAGTGTCAGAGCCGTGCTTTTGCTTTGACATAAAGGTCACTAATATCAGACATTAACTTCCTGAAAAAAGGTTTATATTTTCCATGGATGGATAGGAAATAATTCCCTAGATCTGGTTACAGACACTAGTACCATTTTATTCTTTCAAGAGCAATAAAAAAAAAAATTTCTCCATAAACCCAGCTGTGACTCTCACAGATGTCTGGATTCAACTCTCTGGGTTTTTGGAACAACAGGATATCCCAGATAATGTTAAAACAAATTGCAGCAGAAAAGTTTCTGAATAGTTTTCCCTCCCTCCCCAATAGCATTGAAACACTTCTCCAAATCCTGAGCCACGCCCTAATCCTTGAATCTCTACTTCTTTTTAATTCTATGCTATTCCAAGAGATAAATTGTATATTCCAAGAGACATATTTACATATATAAAATTCTTTA